GCCTCCCTCCTCACCGGCGATCCTCCGATCGTCCCTCACCGCCGCTCCTCCGTCGCTGCTCTCTCTGTTTAGGTATCCTCTCTCTCTCTCTCTAAGGGTTTACATATATGTATATTATATATATATATATATATATCTGAGTGTTTAGATCTTGAGTGTATAGATCTATAAATATCTTGTATATTTGAGTTTAGATCTGAGTATATAATCTGAGTTTCCATTATTTTTAGGTCAATATTTTGTATATTTAGCTTCAGATCTGAAAGACATCATGGGAAGTAATGGTTTTATTTTATTTTGTTCTTCAAGTCTTGATTCGGATTTAAATTAAAATGACAGAAAAGATAATTTTGTTTTTTATTACTTGTTTGTTATAATCTGGTCTCTGGTTATTGAGTGCAAGTGTGGTTCATATAACTAGATTTTCAATATAATATATATATATAATACATTTTTTACACTCTTTCATGTTTTAATTTTATTTTTATTTAGCATTTGTACTTTTGATTTCTTGTTGAATTCTGCTAACAGAACACTGATATAATTTGGTGCCTAGGTCTGCATTCTCTATTTGTGAATGATTGTGCTGTAACTTTTGATTTCTTACTATTACTGACATGTCGTGGAAGAAAACTTGTTTAGTTATTGGGCATTGATCCTTTTTATGGTTTTGCAATGGAAACAGGATTACGTACCAACTGTTTTTGACAATTTCAGTGCAAATGTGGTTGTGGATGGAGACAGTCAATCTAGGTTAATGGGACACTATGCTGGTAATTTTAAATAGCTTGTTTCTAAACCAGGTGATCTTTTTGGTTTCAGTACTTTCTCAATTTTTCTTGTTTTGGGTTTAACTGTATTAATGGTTTAACAGGTCAGGAGGATTACAATAGATTAAGACCTTTGAGTTATCGTGGGGCAGATGTATTTCTTCTTGCATTTTCTCTCATTAGCAAGGCCAGTTACGAAAATGTTGCAAAGAAGGTTAATACATAAGACCCTTGGATGTGTCCTATTTTAGGGCTATTATTTGATGTGTACTTATGTGTATTGACAACTTGTTTCTGTTTTGATTCTATTTCAGTGGATTCCTGAACTGAGGCATTATGCACCAGGTGTTCCAATAATTCTTGTTGGAACAAAGCTTGGTAAGATACATCATGCTAGAACTCAAGGCCAGTTATGAAAATGTTGCAAAGAAGGTTAATACTTAAGACCCTTGGATGTGTCCTATTTCAGGATTAAAATAACAGAACACTGATATATACTCAGATCTAAACTCAAGCAGAGGAGAGGACCTGCAGTCAAAGTGCTTGCTTGAACTCTACGGACCGGAGGTATTTTGATTCTATTGCTTCCTTGCATGTGGAGCTTCATATTTTTTTTTTTAAATTAAGCATTCAAAAAAATTCAGCCCCTATACTTCATCAAGAATATTTAAAAATATGCATGTGAAAGAAAAATGTATCCTAAATAATGAGTTTTCTTCTGGAGTAGGAGTCTGTCTAACTATGTTAAAAGTGATGAATATAGCTCATGGTGCATATTTATAACTTATTGTTCATGTAACAGTTGCTTAGTGTGTTGTCCACTAATCACACTACTCTTTCTAAGAGAAAGATGATGAGTATTTAATTTGTTTCAATCAGACTATTGTTTCTAATTGTTTCAATCATGTCATAATTTGTTTAAAAGATGATGAGTACTTAATTTATTTATATTAATTCAATCCATATTATTTTTATAAAGGTTAAAAATGTCAGATGTTAACTCTGAAGCACCCGTTAACTCTCAAGTACCATTTGAGAGTGACGCGTCACAACATTCATCGCCAGCTATGAACGCACCTATGAACTCACCGTCTCCCCTCTCTAATCAACATGTTATTGATTTAGAAGAGTCTAATACTACTTGTGAAGGAACTAAAAGAAAATCAAGTGTTGTGTGGGAACCTTTTAAAAAACAACAAGTCAATGGGGTGTGGAAGGCAATATGTGATTATTGTAATAAGCATCTTGGAGGTGATTCAAAAAATGGAACAAGACATTTGCATGATCACCATAAGAGTTGTACTAGGAAAAAAGCGATGGACATGAGGCAAAAAGTGTTAACTAACAACTTTAGTAGAGAGATTCCAAAAATGAATTCTTATATCTTTGATCAAGATGTTGCTAGGAAAGAGTTGTCATATGCCATAATCTTGCATGAATATCCCCTCTCTATCGTAGACCATGTTGGTTTTAAACGATATTCAGCAGCACTTCAACCATTGTTTAAAGTGCCTTCTCGAAATACGATAAAGAGTGATATTTTAAAGATTTATGATTATGAGAGGGTGAAGACATTGAGTTTGGTGGAGCATAATAAAAGTAGGGTGGCAATCACAACTGATATGTGGACTGCTAGCAATCAAAAGAAAGGATTCATGGCTGTCACCGCACACTTTATTGATGATTCGTGGACATTGCAAAGTCGCATTTTGAGGTATATTTTTGTACATTTGCAAATCATTTAAAAATTCTATCTTATTCAGGTCAATTTACATGTTATTAATACTTGTTTATGAATATCATATTTTAGGTTTATTTATGTTCTATGTCCACACACAAAAGAAGTTCTTTGTGATACTTTGCTTGAGTGTATAATGGATTGGAATATTGATAGAAAAATCTCGAGTGTTACTGTTGATAATTGCTCCACAAATGATGCCATGATTACCATGTTGATGGATAAGTTAAGTAATTCATCGCTTTTGTTGGGTGGTACTTTATTTCATATGCGTTGCTGTGCGCATATTTTAAATTTGATAGTGAAAGATGGATTAGATGTCATCCGAGTTGGTGTGGAGAAAATTCGAGAAAGTGTAGCTTATTGGACAGCAACACCAAAAAGAGTAGAAAAAATTGAAGAAACAGTCAACCAATTGTGTATTCCACATACTAAGAAATTAGGACTTGATTGTGCAACTAGCTGGAATTCAATCTATTTGATGCTTCAGACAGCCTTATTGTATAAGGATGTCTTTTCTAGGTTGAAAATTAGAAAGCCCCAATATAAGACTGTGCCAACTGAGCAAGAATGGGAGTTTGCTAGAGAGATTAGTGGGAGGTTTAAGATTTTTTTTTCCTATTACCGAGTTGTTTTCTGGTACAAAGTATCCCACAGCCAATGTTTGTTTCCCAGCTTTATGTGAGATTAGGATGACACTGTCTCAATGGCTCTCTTGTGAAATTGAAGTGATCAGAACAATGGCATCAAAAATGGTGGAAAAATTTGATAAATATTGGTTAGTGATACATGGTGTTATTGGGGTTGCAGTTGTACTTGATCCTAGGTATAAGATGACTGTATTGGAGTTTTATTTTGAAAAACTTTATGGAGACAAAGCTGAAGATGAAGTTGATAGGGTTCGTCATATTTGTTATGATTTGTTGCAAGAGTATCAGCACCGAGTTGGTATGGAGACTGATGTTGTTGTTGGTGACTCTTCTGCTCATCCAGAAATTGTTACAGAGACCCTTTCTGAATTTGATTTGTTTATTAGTAGAAAGAGAAGTAAAAAAATGAAGAATGTAAGATCAGAGTTGGACCATTATCTAGAAGATGATGTTTTGCCAAGAACTTCAGGTTTTGATGTTTTGAATTGGTGGAAAGCTAATGGACCAAAGTATCCGACCTTACAGGCAATAGCTAGGGACATTTTAGCTATTCCTGCATCCACTGTTGCTTCTGAGTCAGCATTTAGTACTAGTGGAAGGTTGGTGAGTCCACATCGTAGTAGACTTCATCCAAACACATTAGAAAGCATTAATGTGTGCACAAAGTTGGTTGTGGGGTAAAGAGATGAAAGGTATTATTTCATCCAATTTACATATTATTATTTCACTTTTTATTACTTATATTACCATGGAACAATTTCACTATTGAATTTATATTCTTTACTTTTTAGGGAATTCAACATTGGAACGTGGGCTATGCAACATAATATGATGATGATGAGATCGAGTCGGATCAGTCATGTGCCACTTTTGTGTTAGTTGTCATCTTTTTTGTTTTAATTGTTAACATTTTTTACATTTTATTATTAGTATTAATTATTTGTTTTTTTTCCTTTTGTTATTTAACAGGAGTTCAAGTTGAAGGAGATGATGGAAGTTATGTGATTTGTATGGGTTTCAAGAAACAATGGATTTGCTTTTTATGTTTGTAATGGATATATATATATATATATATATTTTTAATTTCAATTTTTGGGTAACCTATCCCTTGCGGGTTGTGCTTGGGATTAATTATTCTCTTTGGTACTTGTTGAATTTTCTTATGTGTGTGGGTTGCTGGACAGATGTTTGGTTTGTGTTATTTTGTTGCTACATGATGTTTTGTTTGTGTTGTTTTGTTGGACTGCTGAATTTTCATGTTGTAATAGATGTTGACTTTTCATAATGTTGCTACAGGATGTAATGGATGTTGAATTTTCAGGATGTAGTGGATGTTGAATTTTCAGGATGTTGCTCTAGGATTTAAATGGATGTTTATTGATGTTTTGTATTTTGCTTCAGGGTGTTTACATTTACATATTTTTACAAATTTTTTTGTTGCCTTAGGATGTTTTGTATGTTGGCAACAAAATGTTGCTTCAGATTTTTAATCAATTTACAGATGTTGCTTTGTAATCAATTTATAGATTTTTAATCTATTGTTTCAGGATGAAAATGGATTTTCGGGATGTTTTGAAAAATGGATGCTTCAGGATGTTTTTAATCTATTTACAGATTTTTACATATATAAAAAAAGAAAAATTACCACCGGGGATTTTCGGGGTCGGGGATCCCCGATCCCCGATCGGGGCGGGGATGGGGCTGGGCTATGGGTCCCTGTCGGGGATCAGGGACGGGGACGGGGCATATATAAATTTCGGGGATCGGGGATGGGGGGAGTAGTCCCCGGCCCCGCCCTGCCCCGTTGCCATTCCTAGGCTTTATATGTATGGAGCTTAGGACTCTCTCTTTTGTTGTAACCAAGCATAGCCTTGGAAAGTTGTAAGCTTGTAAGACATTTATTTTGTTAATAATTAAGTTGGTATCGCATGCTATAAATTCAAGATATAACTTATGAATATATATCGCATGTGTCACCTTTTTGTAAGTTAACTCTGGTTAATGAAAATCTATTATTTTATTTATGTCATCTTGAAATAGTCATTTGTGAATGATTTATTGTAATTATTTTGAGGCGTTACACAAACTAAAGCCCAAAATTAAATTTGCACAACTCAATCAGATGAAAACCTAGATTCAACGAGAACGGACAACAACTCAAACTTGATTAAACTCGATCTTTTTGTCTTTCTAGATCTAATTAGAGGAGGGGAAATAGATGGCCTTAGTCACGATAGCGAAACCAAAAGGGGAGAAAGCATTGAGAGGAAGGAAAAAGGGAGTAGGCATATGAGCGGAATTGGGCATTGGGCGAAAGGGGAAAATGGGTGGCGATCGAGGAATATGAGGGAATGAAATGGTATAAATTACGGTGGTGTTGAACCCTGCTTCAAATATGAGAGTTTCAATGAAAATTAATGATTTTGTGCTTCATTTATTGATTATTACACTTTTTTTTTTTCAGAGTTTTGCTCAATCTTATGAGCACATCTTTTGATCAGCCTATGTTGATGGTAATGACTTTAGACTACAGATGACTCTGGGTTTGGAGATGGAATGGTGTGGGGATGAAAAAAACATAAGAGAATGAGATTATGTTCCAATGTGGTTTGTTTTACGATAGATTTGTTGATGAATGGTTCTGATTTATTAAATATATAGTTTTGATGTGGTGTGGTTAATTTTACAATTAAAATTAAATTGGAAAAAGTAATAAGTGAGTGCCATGTTTAAAGTTTTTGTTAAATAACTTAATGGGAAATTGACGGATGAATGAGGTTGTTATAAAATTTAAATATTGGGATTTAAATTGAAAAAATAAAAAATTCACAATTTCATTTATTAAAATGGTCAAATTGTAATTTTTTTTTTTTGGGGATAATTTTTCTTGCAGTGCTATGTCCACACAATTTCTCTCCCCTTAAAAATCCCCCGAATAAGGTGGTAACATGTAAGGAGAGTTTTTAGGAGATATTGGGAAGAAAAAAATAGCCTAATTTAGGCTAAAATTCACAAAAAGACAAAATAAACTAAAATAGCTAATAAGACAAAATATCACATCAAATTCATAATCATTTTCATTTTTTCTCTCACAAACATCGCATCCAACCATAAAAAAATCCAATCATCTTCCCAAACACAAAAATTTTAGCCTATTAAAATAGCCAAAGACTAAAATAGCCTACTAAAATAACAACTTTCCAAACGAAGCCATTAGAGTGTGTGTCAACTTTTCAAATTTTACTTACCACATGTCATTGAGGAAGAAATTGTGTAGACAAATCATTTTTCTTAAATTCTTTCATAACATATAAAATAAGAAAAATGATTCATCCTCCTAATTTTACCCCTCGATTCCATTCTTAATGATGTAGAATTAGAGAAAGCTAAAAATGAGAGAAAGGAGTGTGAGATTGCTTCAC